GGGCAGGGGAAAGAGAGGAGATGAAGGAGGGTGTTAGAGCAATGTTCATTCCTCTTTTAAACAAAATCTGCTCTATATTTCTTTCTGTATCTAGTCTGATCACATCCAAGCCCAGTGAGTTGATTTGAGAAAGGTCTTCAACAATCATCCCCACTCTCTTTTTCATAGTCTTGAGATCAAGCCAAATTTCAGTCTGATTTTAAATGTCCCACAATGTAAGTAGACTTGAGCAAACTGCTTGGAATTTTGAGGGGAGCTAGAGATGAGTTCTATAACTATAAAGTCAATGACCCAGAGGGTAACTGAAATTATTCTGTCCAGGAAAAATTTACTTCCTCTCACTTTGCCCTTCATTCCTTCCCTTCCTTCCACCCACTGCCAGCACAAGCACTGGAATGGCATCAAGTTATGACAATGAATACTGACAGGTTAAAGGCTAAAAAACATACATTGTACCCTAGGCACCTCCAAATATTTTTTTCTAACAATTTGCATTTGCTGCTCCAAATAATAAAGGAATTTCACACTGTCATTCATCTCCCTTAAACAACAAAAACATAAATGGCATAACTTCTATCACAAAAAGCCACATACTCTTGGCTCACACAACCACCACAGAATAGGAATAAGGTAGGCAGTACAAAGATTGACGATCAGAGTGAGCAGAATGGGTATCAAGAAACAATTGTAATGAAATTGCTGATTAACCAAAATTCAACTCATTCTTTACAAAACTGCAGAGAGAAAAAAAAGAGAAAGAATGTATTTAGAAACTTGTTTGATTCTTCTCAGCTACTTGCAAACACACAAGAACTTTCAAGCCTGAGTGTTTTCTTTTGAAATACAGGTTTCCAGACCTCACCTGCCAGAAATTCTTTTGTAGGCTTGGAATGGAGCCTGGGAATTGGTATGTTTACTTACAAAGTTCCCCAGGGGCCCTGGCCGGTTTGGCTCAGTGGTCAGACCTAAGGGTCGCGGTTCCATCCGGGCCCTGGTCCCCCCGCATGGGGGAGGCAACCAATCTATGTGAGAAACAGTGAAGTTTTTCTCTCTCTTGCCCCTTCTCTCCCCCTCTTCCTTCCCTTCCACTCTTTCTGGAAAAAATCAATGGAAAAAATGTCCTCGAGTGAAGATTAAAAAAAAAAAAAAAGTTCCCCAGAGACTAAGATCAGCAGCCAGGTATGTCAGAAGTGCCTTTACAAGAAGGGCTCCTTACAACCCTTACTGAGACTCTAGCAGTCTATGGAAGTTCTTTCTATAAATACGCCCAATCAAACAGCATGACACCTCACCTAATCCCCCTGTTCTCCCTCACCGCTAGAGTTACTGCCCTGTTTTCAGTTAATTCCTCCGAACAGCAGGCTTCCTTTCTCATCTCCACCCCAGTAATAACCAAATAATAAGCAGAAGGGTAAAACAAAGGGAAACTATCGCTTCAATACCCGGAAATCCTGTCACTTTAACATATGAGAGAAACACCTCCCTAGATCATGCTAATATGCACTAAATTTTAAAGGAAACAAAACACTTTCAAGGGTGTTCTGGGAGGCAAGGCTGGGAGGTAAGTTAAGAGCTCTTAGCTTTGGAAAGGATGGACTAGGATACTAGAAGGAAGGGAAGGGAAAACTTTAAAGCAGGGCAGCTGACGGAGGAGCGGGCGAGCGGTCCCGTGCCGGCACCTCGGCGGGTTTTGACACTCGACACCCAGCCTTCACTCAGGTTGCTAGGAAACAAAAAGGCTCCACGTTCCTCGCCATTCCTCCCGGGCCTAGAGGAGAGGAGATTGGCCTCCGGGGCCTGAAGACGCCACCCAGGGAAGGGCCTCGGCACTGCCCCGTGGGATACCTGCAGACCCGGAGCTCAGGCTGAGGGGCCGGGCGCGGCGAGAAGGCCCCGAGCTCGGGGGAGGGCGGACCGAGCGCTGACGCCTCGGGAACTGGCCCTGCGCGCAGAGCGGCGCCGGGGCGGGCAGGCCGCAGCGAGCTCGGCTCCTGTCAGGCCGCAGCGGAGCATCCAGGGTGGGATGCGGGGCCTAAACCACCACCCGGCATTGCGCCGAAGAGGGGGCGTCTACTCACACGTGCTGACAGGCCGCGGTCCGCACCGGCGTTTTGAGCACCTCCTGACAGACGGGGCAGTAGAAATCATCTTCGGTGTAGGAAGTGGCCGCGGAGAGGTCCTCGGCCATGGCGGGGGGTGGGGAATCAAGGCGGCGGCAGCGGCCGAGGTGGCAGTGGCGGCCCGGGCCCGACTCCCTGCGCGAACCCAGAGGGGGAGGGGAATCCTGTGAGGAAGCGGCTCGCGCCAGGAAGGGGGCGGGGTCCGGACGGGGCGGAGCCGAACGCGGACACACTCGGGCGGGAGCGAGGGCCCGCCCCCGGGGCTGCTCCCCGCACCGGGACCGGACCCGGACTGGACGGGACAGGACCGGAAGGCGGGATGGGGCGAGCGGCCGCCGTGGAGAAACCAGCGATTGGTTTCACTTTCACTTCTAGCAGGGCTTGGAGCTCGCACGGAGCCGCCACTCTTCGCCTGCAGAGCGCGACTCGGGCCCGAGTACTGATCCTCTAGGACTCGGCCTCGGCCACGCCCCTGGCCCTGTATCTACTTCGCTCCCCGTATCCCTTTGCCCGGCTTTTCGGCTCCTTTCCCCACCCCGAACCCCCGGCCGTCTGGCTCCCCGCTGCAACCCACTCTTTCCCACGGCTCCCTACCCAGTACAACACCGCCACC